TGGTAATCGAAAATCACACGTACGATCATCATCTAAAATGTAGTAATGAATTCATATTTACGTTTGCATTTTTCGGTTAATTCGCCTTATTGTTTAACCAGTATGGTTGCTTTTCGAAACTTTTTCTGGCTTGTACTAACCGGTCGATACGGTGAATAGCAATTTGACTATAGTCTGATGGTACATCAATCCTTTTGTATTCACGAATATCATAAAATGTATTAAATAAAGACCGTATAGGCTTAAAAGTGCCTTGCTTTACAACAATTACATCTAAATCGCCCAATTTCCTCTTTTCCGCGATCTTCTTAGCTAAGTTTCGTGAAAGTTTACTCGAAAAATTTTCTTCACCTTGTTTCAACATATCTGTTATAAAGATTTGAATTTTTTCAAGTACCATTCGGTGAATACTGATTTTAATCATTAAGTTCGAAGCACAGTACAATTTAATATCAACCAATGGATAGTAACGTCACATTATAATAATCATATTTCAATAACTCTTAGCTATATAAACTGAACGATTCTAATCGAGCTCAAAGACAAATAATTTTAAAACGCATTTACGCTTATTTGCTATACAATTTAAACTCCAAAGCTTGAATACTTTTCCAGTGTAATTGATAACTTGATTGATTACTCAATTTAAATTGTCGTTTGCCCTAAAATATGTGACAGGCAAAGATCCTGAATTCGCAACAAAAAGTTTAAAAGTCCTAAAAATTTCTTTTTGCAACTCATGAAAAAACATGAAAATTTTGTTTTCATTCTTGTCGAATTTGTTTTTATTCGGAACCCACGAAGGTGCGTGATATTCACGAAATCGGTCTATTTTGCCGTTTCTATAAATTTAAAGCATTTTTACACGTATATGCGCGGAATTCGAAGCACTATGTATGTACTAATTCGAGCCTACCCGTTGACCGAATTTTCAAATATTATTTAATCGTTCGCAACGATCGAGCTCATAATTAGTATTAAATTCGTCGCGTTCGTTAACGAGAAGCCGTTGCGCAGACGTTTTCTCTCGTGCGAGACTGGAAACGAACGATTATTATAGACGTAGATAAAGGCGCGAGTTGGACGATTCAAAACTCGAGGGTGTGCTGCACCGCGAACACGAGTCGAATACGCAATTTCTTCGTTGCGATACCGTCTTTTACTAGCTTGACATACGCTGCGTATCGTATAGGCGTTTCGTGCTGCAACGATATATTTGCAAGTTTAACTCTATTTTTCTTCAACTAATTTTTAAAAAATGATAAAATTCATATTTTATTCAATTGATTTCTAAATATTATTATTAATAAAAATTAATATTAATAAAGTACCTTACTTTCAATCTCTTGACGTATAATCAGGACTACAGTGGAGTTTAAAGTACAAATATATGAATTCTATTTTGTCACTTCTATATAGCTTGCGACGCCATCTCTCGGAAATCTCACCAACTAGAATTGATTCAAAACTCCGCATTATAAAAAAAAAAAATATTTAACAAAAGCAAAGACGATTAATAAGAAAATAGAATGTTAACCAAATTATAATTAAAAACGCAATATGTAAACTGACCCTTTCGTTCATTTCCATTCAAACAGTACGACTGCGTGCAAATACTCGCTCTTTTTTCAGCACCTCGGTGAAAATCGGAGAAGGAAAATCAGATCAGAGTAGCTAAAGCTTTGCAACACATGTAGAATCTTTGGCGCAGTGGGGCCGCCAGTGATGCATCATCTCTCGCGGCGTCAATATTACGACAACACATAATTGAAATCATCCCCTAGCGTACAAAATATACATTTAGGCGCTTTAGGTGGCTACTAACGCAAAAATTCGTTAAAAATGAGTTTTAAACAAGGCGTGCGCGTGCTCCTCCATATGTTGAGCGTATAAGACGAGATCAATACATACAGGTCAGCTACAAAGCGTATAAGTATGTAACAAAAAGCTCGCCATAGCGGGGCTGTATAATAATGAATAATGGCTACAATCTCAGCTCGAGGCGGTCCCCGTCGACTTGGACTCGGCGACGGTCCTCGTCCTACTACCTATAGAGATGTTGTTGTTGGCGCAGCAGTCATGTGCTCTAGCATTTTTCAAACTTACGACTTGCCTATGTACACATACATTATAAGAGCATCGAATTCTTTGAAATGCGTATTCTTTATTGCGCATCGCATGCGCCAGGGTACGTACGATCGACAATAGGGCATAAGCTGACCGAAAATATCGTTGTCTCTTGCGGTGATGTAGATTCGCGCTACAGGGGTACGTTTATGGGGTTTAAAAATAGTTTTCTTTTCTGTTTATTACCTAGCGAGCTAAGCTGTTGATTACTTTGCTTTAGCAGTTTCAGTTTGCTACTGATTTTCGAAACACAAAGACTGTACTGTTTTAGGTAAAAATAATATTATTTAAAATTGATGAGGTTCAAAGTGACCTTTTGGGAACTACGCATCTTTTATGTGCATTTAACGTGTACATGGGACCAGTCGAACGTTGTGATGCTATGCGCGATCTGAACGAAAAACAAAATTGTAATGCACAAAAAAGTTGTATAGCTTCTGAAAAAAATTAATTTTACATGGTTACAATGATGTGAATTTGTCTGCGTTTGATAATGGCTTTCCAGGCAAACCAAAACTCCATAACAGACTCAAAGGAATCGGAAAATATTGGTGAAAATCGAGGAAATCCGCCCTATGTCCGATCAAGATAACCAATCGTTACAAGCTAAGACGGAGCTATGTCGGATGTAAAAATAAAACATAACTTTGGTGTAGACGCGACGATGGATATCTATTGAAATTGATTACTTACGTGATGCGCTCGTCCTTTAGAACGAAGAGCTGCGATTATTCGAAAATTGAAAAATTAGCCAAAATTCATCACTCTCGAGACATTATGGTAGCAACACAGCCGTATATCAATCCTCCTCTAGAATATTACGCTCATTCTCGAGGCGCAGCTATTATCATTTTAATAATGTTTGTTTAGCCTCGCTCATGGGCCTTTCTTTATCTGCTCTGCAGTAGTGAGCGGCCGGAATAATATAACGATGAGTTTTGGGTGTTGATGCATAATACATGTGCGCCTGTGCGTTACATGTACGACGTCTTGACTGCTTAGCGGGACGCCCCCGCCGTTTACGCGTCATGTGTGGTTTCGTGTATGCGTATAATATGCCTGTATACGTATGTACGCAGGACCCCTACGTCGACGCGTCGTTCTGTCTATATACATATGCGCAGCACAGCCACAAATACACGCGTGCACCTATACACACAAAACGCAGGTATGTATACACCTATAATAATCGCGGGGCCGTCGCGTCTCGGTGGCGTCCATCACATACACGTCAAAAGGTTTTATGTATTTATATAGGACTTGTATATATCCTTCATCGTGCATCCTCATTTCTCTTGCTGCGTTCGGCCAGTTGTGCCAGTTTTTTCTTTTTTTTTTTTTCTACATCTTCCTTTTCTTCGTTCTGTCTCGAGCTATAAGGAGTCTCGCTCTACATCCTCCTTGGCCTTTTCTTCACCCATTTCTTCGAATCCTTTGCATAGCAGAAACGCGAAATATTTACATTAAAAGTTATCACTCGGTAATGCAGCGTTTAAATCGCGCGCGAGGCAGTACTTGCATAAAAGTTTCGTCACAATTGTAAAAAAAACGATACCGATCGCTGTTTGCTTTAATACCGATAATATACATTCGCTACACATGTACAAATATGCGTGCGCGCGTATTAATGATGAGCTATTAATAACGGCTCGTTACGTCCAAAGTTGATTTTTGTTAAATTATTTTGATGAATCGAGACTTGGGCTCCTTGAGCGAGCGTCGAGTGAAAAATTGATTCAGCGAAGAGAAAATCTGTAAATATATCTCGTCGTAGTCGTCGTCGCAGCGACGACCAATGCCAACCGCTCGTAGGTGTTTTGACTGATGATTTACACGGAGCAAACGTATAAAATATACATGGCAACATACATTCGTAGAGACATGCGTCGCTCTTACGCCGCTAATTAACATTTTAAGCTTTGCCCCATGTTGTTCGGTATCGCAGAGCGAAAAAAATGATTAAGAGGTTCCGATTCGAATTACGTGTCGTGGGCCGGATATAATTAATTTTTTTTTGTCTTTATTTTTTGCTCTCTATCGGCAAACTTCTGAGGCGTCGATTAGAGCGCGACCGGTATTACCGCGCGATTTCGATCGCGATTATCGAATTACGCGAAGATGTGCCCGTGTTGCGAATTATGAATAAATATATTCATGCCCAGAGCTACGTACGCACGCGGCTACGTATAATTTCGCAAAAGGAAAAAAAATAAAATAAATTACGGCAAAGAAGAAAAATGAGCGAATCATTTGTTGAATCGCAAAACTGCACGATCGAGACTACGCGCTCAAAGTTGGGATCGCGATTGCCATATAACTATAATATGTATTATTGGTATACGAGGAATCTCTCGTCGATGTTTTGCTATATATAGGTAGAACTGCTGCCGCGACAGGAGCTCGTATATCATCGACGACAAGATGTGTGCCTTTCTATATATCCTGGGCCCCGTTTGACGATGATGATACATGGCGCGCGCGTGTATATCAGTGTGCGGTCCCATCATCGAAGCGCATAGCCGAGGCTGCTGCTGCTCGCGTATACGTACGCCACCCATAAAGCATATTTTCGCTTTTCTCTTTGAGTAATCGACGCACACGCGCGCGCACACAAGGCTCCGAGAGTAGGACGTTTTCGATGTTTCTTGCGCTGTACTTAGCATCGCGAACGCTTGATTTATGTTGTTATACCTTTGGACGCGCGTATTGATATTGTCGCGCGACGTCTGATGGCAATTAATCAGTATAGCATTTTACACACACAATCGCTCCGGTGTATCGTATTATTCTTCTTGAGATGTGCTTCAGCTTTGGCGACATTCGCTTTAAACGAGTCTGAGGCTTAAATGAAAACTTCATCTTTTTATTTCTTTGTTTATAAAAATTTTAATTCAACAGATATTTATAATACACAGAAATGATGGTGTGTCGCACGAAAAAATAGTCTTTATAGTCATACCCTAAATAGAACTTTAACATTTGCATTGACGCTCAACGATAATTAACTAGGATTATTAAACTAAATTATTGTCATTGAACAAATCACTGGCGTCGCTCATATTAGTTTTTTAGTCTTTTTACAATTTAATCGTAATAATTCGACGCTACATTAAAATAATGTTCAAACTAGGGGTGTGCGGGTGCCCAAAAAATCCAACTTTGCGTGACAATTATGCCCAAAGCATCATTCGCAATTTTCGGCTATTGAAATGCTGAAAAAATTGCTTCAAAGTGAGTTGAATTTAATTCTAATCAACCTCTTGTCTTGAATAAGCCAAAAAATTCGGGCACCCCGAGCTCGACTCGAGTCCGAAGGGCCGGATAAAAACGTCGGGTACCCACACATCCCTAATTATAATTCAACGCGTACTATCGATTAACATGAATATTAAAGAAATGTTCATCTAGCTGACTTTTTTCTTTAAATTTAGCGTTGCAACTTCTACAATTGTACGCATTCTTTGCGCGGTTGTGCACGTTTCTTAAATGATTATTCAAAGTACTTTTGACTCCAAATCCTTTGTTACATTCATCACATCTATATGGTTTATTTTTCAAATGCAAACTAGCTTTATGCTTGTTTAGACTACTTTTACACGCAAAAGTCTTATCACAGACTTCACACAAAAATTCTTTAATTTTCAGATGAACATTCTTGACATGAATATCCAAATGAGGCTTATATCTACACAAATAATTACAGTATTCACATTGGAACATTTTAATATTCTTGTGAATAGAATCAACATGCTTTCTCAGTTGACTTGCATATGGAAATTTCTCTTCACAATTTTCACATGCAAGTAAATGACTACCCTCATGAGCATAACCATAATGTTTTTTTAAATGAACTTTCTGGGCAAATTTTCTAAAACATTTATCACATTCAAACGGTTTGAGCTTCTTATGAACAGCATCAACATGCTTTCTGAGATCATTCTTGTAAGTGAAACTTTTATCACATGTTTCACATACATAATTTCGCACGCCTCTGTGAAGTCCATCAAAGTGTATTTGCAATTTTGTAATTGAAATGAATCTACAGTTACATTCAGGACACTTATACTTTTTATAATTTTCGTGAACGATTCTAAAATGCCTCCGAAGGTAGAGAGGACATGCAAATTTCATTTCACACCCTGTACACTTATATGGCTTAATTTTAAGATGTTCATTATTATCATGAGTTTCTAATGATCTTTTTGAAAGGAAACCTCTTCCACATGATCCACATAAAAATCTTTTTGGTCGATGACACATAGAAATGTGTAATTTAATCTGATTTTTTGTATTGTAAGTTTTTTTACAATAATCACATTCAAATGATTTTTTTTTCTGCTTTTTAAACCTTATTTCTTGATTATTTGTTTCAATACTGTTTGTAAATATATTATTACTTTTACATATATCTTTTAATTGACTAACAGTTTTTGAATCTTCATCGCTACATGATTCAAAAAAATCATCAATATTAATATCATCTTCATCGTCATCCTCAGTGTAATCCTCTTCATAATCATCTTTAATGTAGCAAGATTCTATTTCGATTTGAGGTTGTTCATTTAAGTACATTTCATTATCATCAAATTGTGAATCCAAATCGACTTCTTCTTTAACATAAGGATATGAGTCCATGTAATAATTCTACAACATGATAAATAACACAAAATTAAAAAATTATCAAGAGGTAAAATCATGAATAAAAATCTAGAAAACATTCTTTGACTTACATCAGTCATTTCAAAAAATGGTATTTCAATATTTTCAACTGCATAGTTTCCTTCATTCATATATACCTCTACTTTCATTTTTAAACTGAAATGAAAGTTTAAGATTAAATTAAAAAGATAGAAATTTTTGTCAATATCCAATGCATATAAATTATATTACTAATTCTTACAATCACTTGTTAAAGAACCACCAGTTGTTTTTGAAATCAATATTAAACAATTTAAATGCATTTATCCCTAGTATATCATATAATTTAACCAAGATTGAATAGTTTTTATTTTAAGTTAAATCAAAACTTTGGTTTGCATAAATACTTAAATTAAAGATTTATTATTTTCTTATAGTAACCTTAAACTATAATCTGAACTAACAATAAATTGAAAGGAATACTATTCTCTTACCTATCATTAAAACTCGAAGGGTCCGAATCCATTTTTAACTGTACAAAAAGTTCAACAGTTGATGTTCCAAATGCAATGATCAATTACCATTTTAGTGAAGAAATCATTAATCTTTCAGTTCTAGTGATTGTGGACTTGCTTGCTATGCAGTAAGTACATTACTGAAGATAATATTGTCATTGTCGTAATATTTTCACTTTAACTGACGAAATGACATCAATTTAAGTAAACAAATGAAAATTGAATGTCTCGTTTTGTGTACGAATGCACAATCACGGTTGATTTACGCATATGGAAGTGTCTACTGTTGATAGAATAATTTATGCTATACGCTAGAAGTAAAACGATTCGGTTCCTAGCAGAAAATGTAAACACAGCGTAATAAGGACCGCATATATCGGAAATAATAACAACAGTTACAGGTTAGCCCAATCAAGCAGAGCCCCTAGCTCACTCTGTTTACGTTGAGAACCGTTCGTTTTAATTCTAGTGTATGTATGTACAAACATTACTTTACAGCAGACAGAAACTGTAAAACCTTCCGAATTTGCGCATGTGTCAGGTATTGTCGCTCATAATTTTTATTTTTAATGTTTTTCAATTTTCATTTCTCACACAGCACACCTGCGCCTTTACCACAGTAGGGACTACGTACAAATACATGTAGTATTATTAATTTTCAATCAATCATTACTTATATTTGACTTGGGATAGCTTGTTTTTTTTTAAATAGTAAAATCTTTAAAAAGTTTTCAATTGCGCTGCAGTAAAAGTAAGTCTGGATATCATGCTAGTCAAATGACAAAATTCATAAAGTTATAAATTAAAATGATACAAGAATACAATAACACTTTTGATTTCTAAAAACTAATAAGCTTTTTAGGGCATTAAAATTTCACTAGTTTGAAAATAGCATAGATTTCTCATCTATGCTCTCTTCAATATCAACTAAAATGTTATTGTGTTAATTTAGAAAGAAATTATAGGATGAAGTAAAAACCCAATATTTTAATTTTCTGAAATAATAAACTTTATTATTATAAAAATCATTTATATGATTCCTATTTTGTTAGCTACATCAAGAGCATCATAATCTCTGCTTAGCCTAACATAGGCCTTCTTTTTGCCATCAGGCCTGTTGAGGGTGTTTACACGAACGACATCAACATCATACAGTTTCTTCACAGAAGCCTTAATGTGATTTTTATTTGCCTGTGTATGTACAATGAAGACCAAAGTGTTGTTATCTTCAATTTTCTTCATGGAAGATTCGGTAGTCAAAGGGTATTTAATGATGTTTGAGGCATCCATGCTGAAATAAACAATCCGTCATTAGTTGTTGCATAAAATTTTGTTATTTAAACATAAGTTATATTAATAAGCCTATATCAGTATATGATAATAAATGTTTTCAATTTAAATTTCAAAGAGATTCCCATACAATTCATCATTTTATAATAAATATGAAAATGCTAAAATATTGAGTAAAACATACCGGCTCCTTTTCGGCACGCTCTTACGGGGGTACTTGGGGTTTCTCTGTGGCCTGAAGGTCTTTGGCCGATGGAAGTGGATGTTTGTCCTGATTTTGCGGACTCGAGTACCATTGACACCCTTGATTACCTAAAATTTAAAGAGTGATTTAAAATTTTTGTCTGCAAAGCATTCAAAATGTTTTGTTTCTATAATAATTTGTCAGTAATGTGTTAAAATGACTTTTCATGGTATTCAAAGAGATTCCCACACAATTGACTCATCATTTAAATTAAATATATCTACAAATATAACAGAATTATTTCTATTTCTTATGTATTTACCTTCTTCTGGGTTTTCAGAGCCTTTTCAAGACTAGCTCCAGCCTTCTTAACAGCAGAGGTTTTCTTGACCGCTACCTTGCTGGCTGGTTTACCAGCGACCTTAGCCACAGGCTTAGCTGCAGGCTTAGCCGATGATTTTGCAGCTTTGGCTGCATTTTTGGCTGCAGCCTTTGCTGCTGGCTTGGCGGCTTTAGCTGCAGCCTTTGCCGGTGTTTTGGCAGCAGGCTTGGCGGCTGGCTTAGTCGCAGGCTTAGCTGTTGTGGCCTGGACTTTTTTGGCAGCCTCTGGGGCTGGTGCCGTCTTTTTTTCCTTTCCTGCTGCTGCAACATAATTAAATTATCATTAGATTTATTGCATATGACAAATTCGTTCGAAAATTGAGGTTAGATTGATTACTTATGCACTAATTTTAAGTTACTCATTGTTCGAAATGCACTATGGTTAAAAACAAAATTTCTAAACAATATCGCATTTACTACTGAAAATTCCATAAAATTCTACCGTGTGATTTAATGGTTGAAATTTTTCATAATAATGCTACACGAGTTCGGGATGCCGCATTGTCATGCGGCTGTCCATCTATACTTATAATAACGTTGCAGATTACTAAATGAGGGAAGAATCGATATCAAAAGTATTATGGATAACATAATAAGTTGCGAACATCACTTTACGCAATCAAAAATAATTTTTATGCTAATTAAATGAACTATTTTCTACCTTTTTTAGGTGCCATCGCAACAGGGTACGGGTATCGAGAGAGAAAAGGTTACACACGTGAAAGGAGCGTGGTGGCACGCCTGCGCTTGGAAGATTCATTCAGTTGGTATTATCGTCATGTGTCGTCACATACCGAGCAATTTGAAATTGAATCTACATTTTTACTTTTACTTCAGATTTTTATTTTTATTTATTAGATTCGATTTATTGATTATGAAATATTTTTTGATGATTTTATGAGTGGAGTAATTGAAAATCTGATCTTATTGCGGTACATGTTAAATATTACTTTGTTACATATTAAAATTTATTATAAGAACATGATTTGAGCGTATATCCCTCGGTCATTATTAAACATAGTAATTTTTTCCAAGTTATTTTTCAAATCAGATATCAAAAAATGTAAATAAAAAAAAATTATCCACTCATTGCAGCCGAATGAAACGAATATGATTCTCCATCGACGAGCAATCATTGCTGAGAACATCAAAGCAATTATTATAGAAGCAGAAAATTTTTTTCTTCTGAATAAAAAATACTTGAGAGTCGATTGGTCAATGGGGTCAAAGTCGTCAAACTACTTATAATAGCTTAACTTACTTGCAGGAATAATTAGCATTCGTGCATCGCTTACTCCACCATATACCTATAGTTTACGTGAAAAGTGCACAAAGAAAACTGCAGTATTATAACAATAGTAATATGGCGAAGAGGCAAGTTCATTAGGCCACGTGCTTATCGAGCATCGCACGTGCCGCCCCTCGCCGCAAGCAGCCTATATGCGCGCACATATCGTTACAGTATATAAAGCCTCCTTATAAATATAAAGCAAATTGCGCTAGGATATAACGAGCTCTGTGGGCCGCTGCGATGGATAATACCGTGTGCGCTAGACGCTCGAAAGCCTATACGTACACCTGCAGTATTCAGATCGGGGGGGTTGACTCGAACATATAGGTATAGGTAGAACGAGCGCGTCGAGTGCAGCAGGCCACAGGCCGTGGCAGTGAGGGTAGGCTTATAAGGTACACACAAGTAGTGCGCGCGGGGGGGTCGCGCGCAAGCGCCGTCGAAAGCTCGAAAGCTCGGCTAAGTGCAAGCACCTCGAGGCGGCGCGCAGCAGTTCGCGGAGTAGTTTACCTAGAAACGCGTTGGCACGCAGAGGCGGCCCAGCGTTTTATTTTATTTTTTTGCTTTCGTTCGTCGGCGGCCAGACGGGCTGCTGCTGCTGCTGCTGGCGCATTGACACTGGTGGGCGCGCGCGACCGACAACGCATAGCAGCGTGTAACGCATCGATGAGCCCACGAGTCCTTGTCCCTCGAGCAACTCCACGTTGACCATCGCAATAATAGGCAGCGAGTTCCGGCAAACACCGAGAGCTTTCCGCCTTGCTGCGAGCAGGTACAGACCACATTTGCATAGCTAGCTTGCTCGCGCATACGTGAAAATATTGCTACGGTTGCGGGCGCCTCGGCGGGATCGGGTGTATGCAAAAAAGAAAAGGGGGTTACAGACTGCGCTTGATAGAAAATTAGTTTGTTGCGCTGTGATTCTATTGCGGCTCTCTCTCTCTCTTTTTCTCGTTCTTTCTTTCTCTCGCGCACACATTGTGTACAATAAGCAGTGTACAGCAGTGTCACGTTCGATATCGCGACCCGCGTTGAAGTATTTATGTTTGCGAGACTACTGGCCTGGAGCACGTTATTTTCTTGTAACGTTGTCAAATACGCACGTACACTTTTTGCTGGAGGTCTTACTTTGTGACCGCACTTCCAATAACTTATTTCCAATGTTTTTCTAGTGGAGTATTTAAAAGCTTTCGCAAAAAAAAAACAAACGGTATTATTCAACGAGTGAAAAATGACTTTTTTACATCATTGTGAAAAAACTTGAATACCAAAAGTAACATAAATGCTTAACAAGAAATGAAAAAAAGGTAATCTAGAATCAATCGTGATGCGTCTTTTCTCGTTGAATCGTATGTCGTTTAAATAAGAGCGAAAGATAACAAAACTTCTACCCTCCGATGCTTTGTTGGACAGACAAAGATTTTGCTTTTTCCCTCGCTTTCCCTCGACTTCGGTGTACAAAAGGTAATCTGCTTATTTCAATTATCCGATTATTTTGTTTGACTCTCACGACGACTTTCGTAAGAAAAGGAAATAATATTCACGACGACTTTGAGAAAATATAATTTACTATTCCAGCTAAAAACAATGCTCATGATTATTCATATTTTTTGTTCAAAAAAATATTCTAAAACTTCCGCAAATTACTGATTTTATGAAATTATTTAAAATTTATGATTTGTAAAACGAGGATCTATAAATACATGGTTATTTTCCAAACTAAAACTTTTTTCTCATATGTGAATTGAATTTCGATCATTTTTGTTTACTTGAATCTAAAAAAAATTTCCGAAAAAACTTGAACTTCGATGAAAAAAAAGTAAACGGAAAGAGACGTTTCTCAATGCAAGAAAGGTCAGAAAAATATGAAAACTCGGAGTTCATACTCAATTACAGAGTTTTTCGCTGCGATAAGTTCAAGCTTTTATACATGCTCGTCTGTTTGCCGGAGCTTTGAATATTTTATGACTGCGGAGTAGTCCAAGAAAAGGAGGCCCAACTTTTTTCGAGTTTTTCTTGCAGAAAAGCTCCTCAACCATGTTTGTTCTCTTTTTTCATAGCGAAAAAGGAGAGAGAAAAAAATCTTTGCTTAGAGTTCATATACAATCTACGAATATTTGAAAAAGGCAGACACGAGCATTCGTCGCGCGATCATAAATTAGCCGCCCCTTTGGCCGTAAATAATGAAGCTTTCGTCGCCTTCGCGAAACGAACGAATATCTTAATGCCTTCGGCACGTATACATATCATTTAGCCGAGTGCAGTCGCGTGTATACACACAAACTGTGCGGCCTATTACGTACCAGTATGCGCGATCGATTGGCCAATTATGTACAGGTAGACATACTTAATGGATTGGCTATAGCTCGGCTTTTTTTTATAGTATTCGACACTGCGTTTGAACTTGAGGGTGGCGATCGATTCTGACTCCATTATCATTGGCATCCAAATTTATGTTTTTCTAAACTAGCCGATTGTGCCAATCTTCGTCCATATCACGCAAATGGCCAAATGACACACTGGATTAATGGTACACGTGTAGTTTGTAAAACGCAATTTATATAAAGTCAATTCTTTCAAAAGTAAATAAAAAAATGAATAAACTCGTTTAGAGGCTCGAATGCATCCTTGGCTCTGGCGTACAGATCATGAACGAGAAAATAAAGAGGAGTATTCTCTCGAGAAAAGTGCAACCAGTAGTTTCTTTTTTACACTCTAGTCACGATAAAGTAGATCTTTTCTTTGATAAGAATAATAAACATATATTTCATCGAAGCGTACAGTGGATATAGCTTTTCGAAGAGGCAAATTTTATAAACGACCATGGGCAAAAAATCGAATCGATGTATGGGCTTCATATTTTAATATATGCGGAGCTTGCAAGCTCTTTTATATACTACGTGTCATTGCATCTCTCTTTCTCTTCTTCTCTTGTTCTGATTCATTGTGCGAGAGAGTTTCTAGCGACTACAAAGAAAACCAATAAAATTCTTAATACAGATATATGAGCATAATAAGAATAAAAGCATTGTGTATGAGAATGAGTGGAGCTATTGTAATATTCGAACGCTGAGCGTATTATTTACGTCGCTTGTGACGACGCGTGTAAAAAAACTTGAACGCGGCTCGCGTAGTACTGTAAAGCTTGAACCGTACGTTGGATTGGAAGTAAAAAAAATCTTTGTCAATTACGCACCTGGAATTAACGTAAATACTTGCACACGTGTTATCATTATTATTTTTGTCCTTTGATTAAACGATGCCAAGGTATACGATGCAAAGTCAGCTTTTGATAAAAACTTTTTCAAGCTTTCTAATATCATGTGCACATTTCGATGATTCCTTGGCAAGTCACTCGTGGTACATTGCCAACGCACCAATTGTTGCTCCGTTCTCTCGAATACATCCATAAAATTAAGACATCGCGCGATTCAGAATTTCTGTAATGTTGCAGTTAGTCTGCCAGGAGTGAAGTCTCCTCATCAGTATGCAACGTCGACGTCGTCGCAGATCATCATCGATATCATCATCCCGTAACAGTCCCAGGCCTGGACAGACCCTCGAGGCGTCGATTCGATCGATCGCGAGTACCAGAGAGTAAAGCGCGAATCGTCGAGTAGCAAATCACAGGGCCAGAGCAGCGCAAAGGTCGTCGTCGTCATGTTCACGTTCTACCAGAACTTCCAGGCGCGGCGCGAGGAGGCCGAGCTGCAGCGCGAGGCCGAGTCGACGGGCCACGACCGCTTCTGCCAGACGAGGCCCGGGGCCACGGCACGGCGCAAGCGACGCGCCAACCTGGCCAACCGCCGGGCCCACAGCGCCATCGAGATCGAGTGCAATCAGGACGCCTTCGCCTCGGTGCGTTCGGTGCTGCTGCGCAAGGACAACAAGAGCGCCAGCGTCGAGGACGACGAGACGGTCTGCAGCATCGGCAACGCGTCGGCCGGCTCGGGCTCGGCCGCCGGCTGCACGGCCATCTACGGGAACGGCTCGGCCGCTGCCACGGCCCTCCAAGCTCAACAGCAGGATGCGGAGGAGTCCAAGGGATACTATCAGATCACGAGCAAAATCGACAGCCTGGCCAAGATACTGTTCAACAGGGTTTACGCCGTCAAGGGCTACAAAGAGCCCGACGCGGCCAAGTGAGTACACGAATGAACAACATTTATACATTTTATATTATTTGAGTGGGCGCGTGGCAGTGATGGCTCCTAAATACGTTACGGTTCGATTAAAATATTTGCAGCTTTAGAGAAAAACTTGGTAGAACGAAAATATGACTTTTAAGTCAAGCACGATATTATACCGCACTGGCGACGTAGTACCAAAACGTAATTTTTTGTCCCGAGTATTTTTTATCGGGTGAAACCTTTGAAATTCGTACAAAACGCATCCACGAGCAGGGCAATTAGCGCGATAAGGAGCAACGAGCAGTCGCGAATTTCAACTCGAAATGATCGATGCGAACGAATTGAACGATGGAGGTTGACGAACGATGCGATGCGCAGGAAGGACAATCGTCAAAATCACCAGTACATGGCGCTGGACGGTCGGGGCCGTCAACAGCCGGGGAGCAACGGAGTCGGGCCGGGTCACCTGTACCAGGGCGAGTCGTGCGGCTTGGCCGAGAGCGAGGCCGCGAGCAGCAGCGCCGGCGAGTGCATGGAAATGGAGAGACGATCGAGAGATCGTGCCCTATCGATCTGTCGTATCTATACTCGAGAAACGCCGCGCTACAGTCTACTCAAGCATCTCAACAACGTCGGTACGTATATAAATGCCAGCCTATATACTCCCTATATGCAGCTCGACTGCATATAATGCAGTGAGCTACATGCCCGCATATAAGAGATTTTCCAGCTTTCTTCGAGCGACGAGCTATTATAAGCTCGCGCGTCATGTGTCACATACATACTGTCGATGCACTATAAGCTATTTTACCTATACATCGACGCGCATCGAATACGTACACCTGCAGAGAGAAAGAGAGACGTATTGACAAGAAGAAAAGGGTGTGACAAAGCTTGCACAACTATGACGCCGATGTATGAACAAGCCTCGCATATTGATATATGCTACAAGCGACAAGTAGCATTTGTCAATGTAGCCAGGCGACACAATGGCTCCTGCAGAGCCAGTCGATGTATTATGCACTACCTACTCTATACACCCTATATATGCAGCGAGTCGCGAATGTTACCTTCAAAACATTCCAAGATTTATCGAAAAATGACTATAACTCGATACGATGTAGAATTAATTCATGGCTGTGCACATAGGTTCTCGGGTGGACAAGCACTGGTTCGCGGTGCGCGACAATCTGCTGAAGACCGACCGGCTGCTGACCCTCGCCCCGATCAATCGCAACTGCTCGATCCAGATAAGCCCCGCGAGCCGCGACGTGCTCAACCGGCTCTTCCTCACGCTCCAGCATCCCTACATCTGTCCGGTGCTCGATCTCGAGTTCGTCCAGCACGACGGCCAGGACTACGTGATCCTCGTCCAGCCGATCAATCAGGGCAGCCTCAAGGACATCATCTACGGCATCGAGCGCAACTGCTGGAACGAGGACTGGTCGCACAAGTACGGCAGCCGGGGCAAGGGCCTGCCCATCACCCAGATACAGCGCATGGGCAGGCAGGTGCTCGAGGCCCTGGTCTTCCTCAAGGAGCGCGACTTTCCCACGGTGTCGCACCTGCACTCGGGCAACGTCGTCGTGCAGCAGGGCGTGGCGCGCCTCGCCGCCCTCGAGAACAGCCTGCTGGGCTTCACGAGCCGGGTGCACCCCGTGGTCGCGGGCAAGCTCCTCAGCGGCCGCAGCCTCCTCGTGCCCGAGTCCATCGACACGGTCTGCTTCGGCCACATGCTCTTCGAGATGAGCGCCGGCTACGAGCTCTGCACCTTCGAGCCCACGCCCGACAATCTCGCCAGCATCAACAAGTATCCCCAGGTCCTCGAGTGCTTGAGATTCATCTTCGAGCGCTCGCCCAAGCCCAATCAGTCCAAGTATCCCAGCATCGAGGAATTGATACTTCACGATTTGTTTCGCAATATCGATCTTCGTGAGTTGAGAAATTCGTCGGTTAACGTGAGTTACAACATATATAACCGAGTCCAGCCATGTCTCTTCGACTTTTCTTCCTTATATTTCTTTTTCTAGATTTTCCGTCCAGACGCTACCATTCCAATATCAAAAGTACTCGAAGGGATCAAAAAGCCTCCTATTACAATCAAGCGGTACCGATCATTAACCTTACTTGCTAATGTATTTATTTTAATTTTTTAAAAAAAGGGCTAAAACAACTACTTATGACAATAATTTATGACTGATTACGATCCTGCCCAGGGTCAATTTTTCATTATTTTTATTCTGTTCTCTTTTTGCATGCCTAGACGATATAGATCGCATACATCGAGCAAACGTTGGTAATGATTTTATTCTCTTAGCTGGTAGAGTATGACGTGATATACCTTTTTTTTGTCTCGTCTATCTTCTTTGTTTTTTTTCTTTCTATTTTTTTTTGTGATATTTTTAATTTACAAAACCCAATTTTTTATTTTGATTTGCAGAGAGGCAAACGTCGATTGCGAAGATATGATATCACTGAGCATACCAGAAAATGAAAGCAGCGAAAATCAAAATGGTTCGTTGCTTGCTCAAATATACAAAGAACTTTCTATCACGTCCGTCTGAATCAATCACTTTTAACTACTATTGTACTACGTTATTATATATATGCTATACATTATGAATAAAATGATTATATATTCATAATAATACTGTGAAAATGCTTTTTAAATAAAATAATGCTGGGAAAACTATTATCTTGTTCTTAATAAACATTAAACCAATGCAGAATGTATCAAGTCGTTTCGTATTTTTTAATACTTTTAATGATAAACTTTAAAAAAATATCGACAGTCAGATTTACAAAAAATATAAGTGCTTATTCAAAACGGTCTTAATGGTCTTAACAATGACAAAGAATACAATGATGTGTTATCAGATAATTAAAGTCTCAATCTACCCGGTCAAGATTCAATTCTTGAAGAAAGATCTTTTTAGCAGTAAAACAACGTAATTAAAATTCATTTTAAAAAAAAGGAATACAGTTTGTAAGTTAATTCATCTTACAGGGCGTTAGTTTCTAATTCACCAGTCGTAGTTTCTGGCTCTTCATCATTATAAATATTTTCAGCCATTTGCCACACCTGCATTATATTATCTTCAGATACTGAACAAATTACCCATGGTTCATTCGGATTCCACGAGAAATCACTGATTTTAGCAGTGTGTCCACCATGAATGAACTAGAAAGTTACAAATAAAGAAATTACTTCATCAGTCAGAATTACTTTTTAGCTTAGGGTTGTAAAGCACATTGTACATACCAAAAGTTCAGGAGGACCATCTTCGGCATCTTCGGGTTGTTGTTCCTCTCCAATTTTGCTTAAATCCCAAACATGCAGGCGCCTATCAGTACCACTGCTAGCCAGAATAGTTTCGTTATGAGGGGACCATTGAACTTGGAATATTTCATCCTTATGAGATTCAAATGAATGTAATTTCAATTTTAAATTTCTCAAGTCCCATAACGCCACAGTTTTATCAGCGCTACCAGTGGCTAAGATAAATTCTGAGTATGGATTGAAACTTAGACAATTCACTTCAGCTGTATGAGCATCTACTGTGTGGCTAGGTTTACTAGTATTGTTACACCTGAAAATTCGATTTGTAGAAGTTATTTGCATGAAAACTATTTCTAAAAAAGTTGGGAAGTAATAATTTACCTGGTGTCCCAAATCATCAACTTCTGGTCATCTGCGACAGAGCCAAATAAGGATTCATGAAGTAGATGCCAGGCAACATCTTCCACAACGGCAGTATGACCAGTAAAGATAGTCTTTGCATCAATGACTCGATTTTCCTTTGGAGTTGCATTGATGTCCCACAGACAAATAGTATGATCATCAGAAGCACTAAGGAGGTACCCATTCAAGTTTGGATTCCATGATAAACCATAACCTTCTTTTTGGTGTCCTCTCAATCTGTAAAATTAATAAATGAATAAAAAAATATTTTAAATTTAATAAATTCAAATTGAATATGCGGTTACATACCTCAAATCTGGATGGCATTCGCCATTTGGATCAGGTTTGCTTGGATGCTTTGTATAGTCAAATACCAGAACATCACTAGATGGGGTTTTGGTAGCAATTACACAAGGATTTTGTGGCATAAACCTTGCTCTATTTACTTCTCCTTCATGATTGATTTTAATCTCAATTTCTATCTTTCCACTGACTGAACCAAACCCGCCAAATTCACCTTTTTCACTATCGTAATGAGAAGCATCAAACTGAGCATCTTCATTGGGAAGTTGGACGCTAGCTATAAGCAAGTGGTTCTGTTCATCAGAAGTATGAGTTCCAAGAATGAGACGATGGACAGTGTAATCTTTTCCTTCAGGTTTGGTGACATCGGGCAACCATTGAGCTGTCAACGAAGGCCATTCCAAGGCATGGGTCATAACGAGGTCATACAAAAAAGGAGTATTCTTTTTCCATATTTTGTACTCCTCGTTAATGACTCTTTCTTCAACAGCTTCGTCAAATCCTTCTATTTATAAAAACAATAATACACAAAAAACTGAATTAATTACTTGGCCAAAAATGATAGAACTAGTAATGAAAATTAAGTGACCATCGATTGTCCGGCGAGGGTCGGGATTTTTCCGTACTGGTTCCATTTCAAAAATATTCAGTTCCGTATAGGTAATGTAAAAACAAGTGCAATAAAAGACTGATAAACAAAATGTTCGCGATGAAAGTCAGCGACCGGCAATTGGTGAAGCACCAGGTTATGTCGTAACAATGAGGGGTAGCTTCGCGAATTTTCTACCCTCAACGTATAGATGGAATGAATCTTTACTTGAAACGATTCACTGTCTCGATAAAAGTCGGACACAAGCCACTCTGCAAAAGCGCGGTCAAGTAAGAATACCAATTGTTATGAAAAACAAAAGCTAGAGAACGCGCGTCTTCCGTGCGAATCAGTAGCGAGTCGATCGCCTAACGGGGATAGAAGGGGTAATGCCAAGTACACACATATACCTATATATGTCCCTGTGTACTTGCCGCTAACTCAATGGTTTTGTCGCTATTTACCTCTAGCCGAAATGATTGTGATGTATGTAATAATACTCACCACCGTCCTTGTCAGCCATCGTCAAATTGTTATTGTTTTCTTTAGTTACTTGAACACAGAGAAATCAAGCGACGACTAACCGTTCGACAGATAATGGATTATAACCGCAAGCTAAATTTCGAGGAAGAAATTGCTTATGTATAGAGTTCGGCGCGCCAAAAGCTAACGCTATGCGACAGTTGAGTTGCGCCGGCGGCAGCTGAGCTGTTGGGACTTGGAAGGACACGACGTTGTATACAAGACGCTATGTGCTGCCAACTTCAGGCGAATGTTTCGTTTCAAAATTTAAACTTCTATTACAAATAAATTTTTATCAAAAATTGAGAGGGGATTAAAAAAAATTTTAAATGAAAAAGCTTCTCAATATTTTCATCTTCATAAGAACAAACTATTTTTTTACGATTTTTTTCATAATTTTTGGAACTTAAGACTTGAATTTTTAAATTAAAATTTTTGATTTAGATTTTTTAACAATCGAGCTTGTTTGGACGATGAGTAGCTATAATAATTCATAATTTAGTTCATATAATTAATACTAATACCTTAAAATCAACGTCTTAGTTCAATTCTTACTTGCTAAATCCGCTGTCAGCAACTAGTGCTGACTTTTTTTTTACCACAGGTGGCGTGCCGCGAAAAAAAATACGTCACGTTGTTCGGAATACGTTTTACTTTCTATCTAGTCGCAACTTCGTCTGTTGACTGATAATTATAAAAATGGTAAATTAATGATACTCGATTGTTATTTCATTCTTCAAAATTTTATGTTAAATTTTCGATGTTTAGTCGAAAGTTTTATTAATCGATTCGTTTATGAGTGTTTTATTTTTCAATCAACGAAACCAAATTTTACTTTTTGAAGTCAGCATGTGTTTATCTGGGTTACGATGTGATCATATATAGGAGTGCTTTTTTGTGAATTGCCTTAGTTAATATAATAAATTGTTTAACATTTAATATCTCAAAAGTATTAAAATTACTAATAAAATAAAGTTCTTACCAATTTAAATTTTACATTGAAAGAGTGAATAAAAGTTGAATGAAAATTATAATTTATTAACAAATGAATTTATTTATCAGGCCAAGCGAACCAAGAAAGTAGGTATTACTGGTAAATATGGTACCAGATATGGAGCATCCCTCCGTAAGATGGTGAAGAAGATGGAGATAACCCAGCACTCTAAATACTCCTGCACCTTCTGTGGCAAGGTAAAAGCATTCTCATTTAATATTTGAGAAAAAATAGAATTTTTTATCAAAAATAGTAAAAATGATGGTTTGTCTTATAGGAAGCCATGAAGCGAGCTGTTGTTGGTGTTTGGTCATGCAAAAGGTGTAAACGAGTGGTTGCTGGAGGTGCTTATGTTTTTGCCACAACCACTGCTGCTTCAGTCAGATCTGCAGTACGTAGATTGCGCGAAATCAAAGATCAATGAACAACCACTGCTGCTTTAGTCAGATCTGGAGTACTTGGATTAAGTGCAATTAAAAACCCAAAAAACTACTGCTGCTTTGGTCAGATCTCAGTGCTTAGATTAGGTGAATTCAAAGACCAATAAACAGTAAACTTAAACTATGATCTTAAAATAACTGATATTTACTATTATCATTAACTTTCCATTCCACCATTATATTTAATAAGTCAACTAGTTTTAATAATCAGAGTATATAAGCTGTAAAAAACTTTTAAAATTTAGTAATTGAATTTAATTAAAAGCTCTTAAAAATTAACTTTTTAATAATTCAATATTACAATAATAAGTTTTGAATTATAAATTAAAATTATTTGGATCAAGCAACTCTATGAAGTAAAATCGATTTGAATTTAATACAATTTTAAATTGATCATTTTTTACAAATTGATCCTTTAATAATAGCTTTTAAAGTTAAATTTTTAATAAGATAAATTATTTTCCACTAAAAAGAATGCAGTTTATAATGTTTCTATTTAAAGCGTACATTAGTTTTTTTTTTTAGATATAATTTGAATCGTTCATTAAATTTAATAATTAATATTTACCAATTTCAAAAAGTCAGAAACGATCTTGAATAAGTGAAATCAATTAATACTACAGCTTTCATTCAGATATATTTATGGGGATCGGTTTTAAAACCACAAACAGAATAAATCTTTTTTTAAGTTCTGAAGGAGCTGCATAGTGTAATAAACATGCAATCGTGATGCACTTGAAAAAATAATAAAAATTAATTTTGTTTTGTGAAAAATCGTTCAAATTTATTCTAGAGCTCTCAATTTGCTCACTGCATTACTGATACATACGAATGTCAATTGACATCATCAGGCGAAACCTCAAATGTACTTATATTTTTATACTTTGTTATGGACGTTATTTCTGCAAATTTCAAACTTGTGAATACATATAACAAGGCTGATTAAAAAAAAATTAATATTGGCCATTTATCACTTACTATAAAGCCCTTAAGTAATTTAACAAGCTTTTCAACACTATCGTCCGCGTGTAAAAAAGTTTATATTATAATTGGCGTTTCATGAAAGTAGACTAATCATAATATAAGAGTAACTTTTTTTAAATACATCATTATAGAGGTTTCGCTGTTTCTTTTAAAAAATAAGAAACAATAGACAAAAAAATCAATAGTTATACAATGTAGTACAATATAGTTTATGCATTTATAAATTTACTAATTTATATCTGTGTCATTTTCACTCTAGACAACGCATCAGTAAGCGATGAAAAAAAATCCAGTGGTATTTATATGTAATCATTTGAAAAAGTACGAAATTTCGTCTTCTCTTGTCGCTTATCAGTTTATATAATAAACATTGAAACATTTCCTTGAAGTGAAAAAAAATGATACGAACCACTGTTACAACTCATTAAAGCATTTCATTTTTTATCATCGCTCACCGTCGCACTATTTAACTAACATCGATTGGTAAAAAAAGATTCTCCGATCGAGTCTTACACGTGTTTAGAAAAAATGTTTAGAAGCACAATTGGCCAGCAAGAAAAGGATAATCAAAAGGAAATAAAGAAATAGAGAAGTTGCACAATACAATAGATTCCATGATTAATAGAGCGCACCGTGTACGAAGGGAAAAAGGGGATAAAAGATGTCAGCTTAATTTCTATTTAAACCATCTCCTTAGCTACTTCAGCAGTCGGAGAGGTGCAAACGACATCAGGTAGAGATGCGGAGCATGACTTCGTGCAGGACTTCGTCTTCGGCTGATGGCCCAAATTGGCCGCGCATATACTAAAGTCCTTGGTCAAATCACGGATCTCCTTGTCTTGCTGGCTAATATCACAGTTGTTGCACAGGTGATCCATCGCGGAGCCGGTCTCTGTGCTGTCATCGCTCTCGCTACCACCTGCACTCGTTGTACTACTGATTAACGAGTTGGCCGTGGTGGACGAAATTGATCCAGCCACGCCGCTGGCGACTCCGCTCGATTGATTGCATCCCTGAGCCAGGGCTATCAATGCCTTTTGATTTTCTCGCGCGTCCACCAGAAAGATGCTTTCCTTTACTTCTTTTGCATTGTATTCGTCGATTCTAGTGAAGTAGAATAACAATTATGAGTATTAGATTTGTATAAATGTGGTGTGAAAAAGAACATATCTTAGTAAGTATCACAAGTACTCACTTATCGTAAATCACAGCGTGCATGCCAAGCTTCTTTAAATGTTGTATGGTGTCTTTGTCGTTGTTATCGTCACCCCAACAAAATATAATGAGGCCTTGGTCTTTGACCATCTTAACAAGGCTCGGATCGCGCAATACATCCTCGGTATGAACATTGATGCCAAGTATGTCGCTGGCCAAAGCATGCCTCATGGCCATAGGGATGGATTGGCATCTGGGATCGTGATAGGTCGGATACTTAGCAGTTTCGCCTTGGGTCAGAAAAACGACCGGGTATTTGTTTTGCTTGAAACGCAACATAGCGCAAATGTCCGGATTGAAGGACGAGAAGACGACTTTTCGATCGCCACCGTGTTCCAGCACGGTTTTGCTTATGATATCCAAGTACAAATTCAGATCGAAGGGATGATTCAACTCGAAAGTACCGTCCTTCAACTGCATCGTCCATTTAATTTCGATGTTAAATCCAACGTGTTGGTCCAATTCTTTAAGAGCAGCTTCGAGAGTTGGGAACGGTTGATGATCGTCCAAATCCTCGTCGAAAAATTTGACTGTTTTTTCACGGCCCTCTTTGACGTGATAAACCTAAGGAAATTAAGCAACAAAATTAATATTCGGTACGATAGTATGGTTTTCATGAAGTGAACAATTTTAAAGGCCTTAAGGTCGTGTGGGGCTTAGCTCACTGAATGTTCTGACTTAGAAAAACAATAACTGACTTCTTTAAATTGATTTTAGAAAGGTGGTTATTATTTTTCTTAAGATGATTATTCTTAAATTTGTATATACTCTTATACTTTTTGTCACTCGAAACTCATCGATAAAAAATAGCTATGGCTTGTTAGCATGCTTTTGTGATGACTGAAAGCCACAACTTAATTTTCTTTTCTATCGATATATTCTCTAAATAAAATTCGACATTATTTTTCAACATAAGAATTTTAATTTCTAAAGAAAATTTGTCAATGACCAATGAGATGAAAAACTTTCGTAAACTAATGCATGGTAGCAGCTGTGCTACTGTAAATTGAAGTGTAAATTATTAATTGTAAGTAATTTGAAAAATGTTAGAAAACTTGAAGGGGTATTTAACATGCAGAGTAGAATGAAAATCTCGCATCAAGACTTCTCACAATAACTGCTCACCGACAGAACAACCTGCTCAGCTTTATCAAAGAAATGTAGTACCTTACCCAAGGAATCATTCGGATAAGTAAAATCCTGTTATTAAAAATAAAAGGTACAATATTCAAGGTGGGTATTTTTATGAAAATAACTAATCTGCGGTCATTTCTGGGAAATTCTTGGGGTTTCGCGGTATAATTAAAAAGTAGATCATATAAATAACAAAACTTTAAATCTTTATATTAACAATACAACGTGGTATACCTTAAGTAAATGTAGCTGTTCCAAAGTAAGATCCTTTACGGGTATTTCCAGCATATCCATAGCCTCTATTTGCTTTTTACGCTTTAAAGAAATGGAAACGTGAAAATCGTGATAGATAACAGGTATCAGATCCTTGGACAGTTGCACGTCAAATTCCACCATATCAGCTCCGTGATAAGATGCAGTTTTAAGAGAAGCAATAGTATTTTCACGGACATTTGCACAACTAAAAATTCAAGAACACATTTTAAACTCAATTGCTTGATCTCAAGAAAATAATAATCTCATTAAATCTTACTTTTTCATATGGCTTTCGAAAGAATTACCAAGTCCTCGATGTCCAACATCGAGTCCTGACCATCTCTGCTCCCAGTGCTTGGCATAAGAAATACTCATATCCCACGGAAAATCAGGGATTGGTTTAATGATAACATACTCAATTGTAAGTTGCCCTGAAAAATATTATAAATATAATTAAATTATTTCATTCATAAAAGTTTTATGTAATCAATAATGTTGTTAAATTTACCGATTGGCCTGTGTTTTGTACTAGTAATGGGCACTGTTAACTGTCCTACACTGCCTAGCAGTGCACTGGGCAGAACGTAACTGAAACCAATGTGACTGGGTGGTTCATCCGGGAAATTTTTACGACTGTACACGTAATAATCGACCAAGTAAGCCTGAAAAAATGAGAAGATTTTTATTAAAAAACATTATCAATAAGATTTTTCAAGAGAAAATTTCGGCGTCAAAAACGTCGAATGTCTTGTAATCGTGCAGTAACAGCAACTGTTAATTTTAATTATATCTGAATATATAATAAAAAATTTTAATTAAGTAATTTCTACGATCCTCAGCTATGAACATGAAACTCATTTTAAGAGTTTTCATTTGAAGAAACGAAATGCAAGATTAAGAAATTGAATGAAATTTTAATAGATGAGGAACGAATGATTCAAAATATATTATGATAATTTAAAAAAAAATGATGATGAGCCGATCGAAGATGTATCCCACTATCAGCAGAGTCCTCGTGAATAACTAATAATCTTTTAAATGGCCATGGTAATTTATGCAAAGAATTTGAATGAGCAGATTCGGTAATTGTTTATAGCAAAGAGCAAAACAACGAGAGACAAAGAGATAATATCTGCAATCGAGTTTTGAATCATTTTGCTTTGAATGTGCATGAGAAAAGACACACTAATCTACTTTTGAAAAGAACATGCACGAGTGTCTTTTTTTTATCTAAAACTCGATCATAGATACAACATCTTCGATCGCTATCATAAGCGATCTTGATTGGTCAGCAAATTCTTATTTGCTCACTAATCTTAGAAATTTGATTACACGAATTAGATCAATAATTTTTATATCCTTTTATAACGTTCCGTAAATTCTGCTTTAGCTGCGTAATACAATATCAGTGCCTTGATGTACGATGTTCGAGAAACCCCTGTGTCAACAGTTAGTTTAATTATAAAAAATTATTTCGGAAGGAAAACAATTTTTCTTTACATTACACATGATTTCCGATGGTCGATTGTACATCAATCACGAGAGTCCGTTATGACTTTTCTCAATATTGCATATACACTGAATAAATATAACAATAATGATAATAATAAATAATGTGAGGTACAGTAAACAATTAAAAAAAGGATTAAGATCGGACTCTCACCATTTCAGACGCATACAGATGTATTCGAGATGTGACAGCAATGACATCGGTATATTTTAAGTAACTTTATAATTCTTTTTCATTCTTTAAGTGTAGTGTCTAGACAGCTTGAATGTTGTGGAAACGTTTCATTGTCTTTCAATGATTCATAATAAGTTGAAAAGTTTTTAAATAAAAATTTTGATGACTCTACTTCGTTGTTTTCGGAACAAAAATATTTACTTGACCATTTCAATATATTTACTCTATTTTAAAGTCATTTTTTTGCACCATGGTTTTAGGTACTATTTCATTGATTGCAAGTAAATTATTGAAAAGTATGATAATATTTACGTGACTTGCCTTGCAAACTACACTTAAAAAGGAGTTGGAAGTCTAGGATTCGCATAAACCGATCTTTTGTACTGGCTTAATACTTTACCAGCCTAAAGTAAAAAATTTTTATGATTGTCAAACACATTATCACTTATTTCTCTTTGCTTAAGCAAAACCCAATTAATGTCGCTCTTTGAATATTGAGAATTTTTCCAAATACCGTGAAAAATACAGTTTACGAAAGCCTAGGCACAGTGGATGGAAATGGGTAAGGTTGTACGACAATCAAAACTATCATATCTCCTTTTGTTGGCGCGTAAAACAGGATGAAAATCTTTGCTTTAACATCTGATCAGCATATTTTGTGCGTTTGCTTTCTTGTTTTTGTATATTTCAAAGGTGGACTCTTGTTTCAGTTTGTTTTTGTTTATCCATTATCCATAAACCCAATATCCACAGCAGGTTGTGATCCTCATTCAGGTTCAACTAAATGCTGAACAAGATCAAGTTATTGTTTACCAAGTGAAAAAGTAAAAGCATTGATTAGTATTTAGAAGACTCTGCTTGCCTACTCGTAGTTTCTACTGAAAACTCACATGATATGGTCAATGAATATGATTGATTATGAGTTTCAAAGATATGATTTTTTTTCTTGTTTACTACTCATTGATGCATGTATTTTATAAAAAACAATTTTTTCCAGATAATATTAATTATTAAAAAAATAAATATAATGAAAGTATAGTACAATGAATATTAAACAAGATTATTAAATTGTTAAGACTGAGTTAATATAATCTGCAAGTTTTACTTACGACAGTTTCTGGGTATCGTACTGCTGCATTGAAAATTAAAAATTCATTTTCTTTGTAGTTTCTGCCAAATTGCTCTTGATATTTAAAATGTGCTTCTTCATCATTCATCACCTGTTTACAGTGGAATTATTACAATTGTGATAATAAATTAATTTTAAATTTAATCAATAACTTACGGCAACTTCTGTAATACTGAAAGCTGGTTCATCTACATAATCTAATGTATCCATAGACAAACTCTCATCTATATGATCTGCAGATTGATGCAACTCAAATGAATTATGTCGTACCAAATTTACTGGCGTCATCTGAGACAAAAATACGATTTTATGTGAAAGTGTCTTATAAAATAATAATTTTTAAAATAAAATTTGATAATTTGAGCATACTTTTATACACATTTCTTTATTTTGCAGTCTATTTTTCCAGAGCTTGATAGGATCATTAAACAATTTGAACTGAATGACTGTTTCATCTGTCAGCCAACCTCTTTCAATTTTGCAGTAGCCATCGTGATAACCAAATTTATGTGGATCAGGTATATCATTTTCAGTTGAATTATTGTGAGCTAAAATATTAAATTTTAATTAATAATGTTTACTAGCTCTTCCTCTTTATACATAAATAAAAATTTTAATTCTTACAATTTTTTTTAATTTGTCTTGGATGCATATGAGTTTCCCATTTTCTGATAATAAGTGTTCTGGGTGAATTTTTTGTACCATTAGGTTGACAAACAACAGCTATAAAATAACGAAACTGCACATCAACGTCACAAGGTAAAGAAACTTTTTGTGAAAATATATGTCCTTCACTGAAATATTAATGAAATGTTTAATCAACTTGCAAATTGCAAATTTAGACTTATTTTTTCATGTTTATTATATTTACTCAATATTTTTTTCATCACTGAAACGATTATTTTCAAAAGCATCGACACCATCTTCAGAATTCCCATAGTTATCTGCTGCACTCGAAGTACCGTTATTGTCAAATCGAATTGGAGAGTCGGGTCCGTTGCTCTCTTTTGCAAGCTGAACTGCCTGATTATGGTTCCAAGAGCCCAATTCAGGTAGATTTCCTACCACAAAGACCACATCATTCTTTTCTAAGCCAGGCACCTGTAAAATAATAAGCATTAAAAAAAAAATTCAATTTATATCATTGAAAGGATTAAATACTTCAAGCTATATGTTAAATCTACTTTAATAACTATTTGGAGCAACTTGAATTATATATGTAGTCATAAGTCAGTAAGACATAAGTTTAAATCATCCAATCTTGAGTTTTCTAAATTTTAAGATCAAGACAGAATATTTTTATGCAATGAAAGTTACACCTTGCTATTCTACTTTGGTAATATTAAAATTACTTTTTTTGCAGTTGGCTAACTTAATAATTGTAAGTTGTAATAAGTAACTGAAATAATTCTCACCTGGACTCTGAAAGTGACATCTCGTCTAGAGGCCCTCATGTTGATGGAATTATTGCAGATGACGTATTCAACTGCGAATTTCTATCTACAGATGACAAGAGTCTTCTCAATCCTCGCCTGTTCCGCAAACCTAATTAATAATAAAATTCCACATCTTTATCTCGTGTTTGCAAAAGGCAAGTGCATTAATGTACATATTACGAAGCTTAAAAATAAATTCTTAAATCATTCGCGATAAAAAAAAACTAACTCTCGCGCACACTATCGCGTAATGATATTGTGCTGCTGAGCTGACGGCAGAGCTCTTGAGTCGGTTTTCCGTGATTTTTCTTGTAGTTCCGGCGCGCACATCGTCGTATTATTATTAGATAACTCAGTACAGACCAACCAGAGCACCACCATACTAGCCCTCTCGAGTGTCAACAAAAAATTCAATATCAATATTTAATTGATTTTTCGCGTGTTTTGTCACGTGTCAATAATAATTTCAGCAAGTAATATACTTGAAGCAAAGGGGGGAAAATATAATGTAATACTCATCGGATCGTATTTATACACGCACGCGCGACACGCAGACTCGGTTAAAATATAAGTATACTCAGATTCGCGCATGTATGTATAGCAGTCTCGACTGCATTGCTCACACAATCACACACACACACACACACGCAGGCATGATTTATATACGTACGTATGCATTGGCTATATCGATTGCTCAAGCAGCTCAACAAAGCCAAAATTTTGCACTTGGCTTTAGCGGAGGAAGAAAAAGTTGTCATAAGTGAATAATTAATTTACGAAAAGAACTAGAGTTTGACGAGTACGGACGTAATAATGTCAGTTGTATAATAGGCGTACTTTACTTTTGCGTCTCGTTTTTGTGCGACGCTCTTGTCTTACGTATAACGCGACTGCAGCTGCATGCACGTATATACCCTCATTAGAGGTGTATTGTACACCCGCACACACGTGCGGTGTCACCCCCAAGTCTCGCGCGGCCTGCTGCACTCTGCATACGAATTGATGCGAAATTTATTAATCATATTCGCACGCTTATAGTCACGCATGTAGGAAGTAAGCCTCGGTTTCGCTTAAATATATTCTATTCGTAGTATCTCGTGCAGCTTTGACAGATCGATAATTTTTCTCGGCCGTGTATATTTTCATGCGCAAAGGTGAGTCCGCAAGAGCTCGATACGTGTTTTGTCTTCTGCTGCGTGAGTCAAAATCGGAGCTCTCGCAGACAAACAGACGAGTTTCAAGCTGGCTAGCAATAATAACGACGGATATAGAAGCAAGTATCGGATTTAAATACTTACACGTAGCTTATGAGGAAATGCGTGCCGCGAACTGATCGTTCTCAACGAATGTCTGAAGCAACAAAAAAGCAGTTGTCTTTCTCTCACGTATGCCTTGTGACCCGGGAACACACAAAATGCCGTCAAAGTGCTACAAAAGATGGAGTAGTTTTTTGTGTTCTGCAGCCTCTTATATATCCCGATATCGAAGCGAAACTGACGCAGCCCTGCTGGTGGCTCAAACTTGCACGACGTTCTTGCTGTTTTCGATGTTGACAACAGTCGACGTAACTACTGCTGCTGTTGTTATTGTTGTTATTTAACGAGCGGACAAAGATCGTAAGTATATGCCGCTGGGGTTGAGCTTGTGTTATTTAACAAAGGCAAACTCCAAGATGAACTCGTACGGCTTGCTAGTGCTTTTTCTCTCCTCATCCGACATGTTTTGCCTCTCAGAAACGCAACTTGGCAACTCGGGTGTCTCTCTTATGTACGATGGTCTTTTTTTAAATGTTTACGTATACACACGCGCGTACACGCCAAAGTTCTGCGTAAGTATATGTACACAGAATTGACGAAAGGTCGTGCGCCGAGTAGTCAATAGAGCTTGTCGCTCGTTGGAAGAGCTGCACATGCACGGCGCTTTCTTCCTATTTCTCTCTCTTTCTCTCAGCTCTATACGTACTTATTATGGATAAACAAGTATGGCCGGTGCACAGTATAAAGCTTCACTTCCGTGACAAGATAGACGTAGGCGCAAAGCGAGACAACTACACACGCAAGTATCGACGCACAATCAACAAACACTGTGGGCAGCTCGCGAGAGAAAGCTTCGCAACAATATGTTTTTCTGCAGGGAGCGACTTGTGTTGTGTTATATATATTTTCTGCGAGGCGCGACTTGGCACTGCTGTTGACTGTCGACAGCGAACTAAGTGACTGCGACTTACTCTCTCGCTCGGCGCCTGCTGAACCGCTGCGCCCCCACGCGATCTGCCAGCAACAAACAGAACGTGCGTCGTGCATGTGTATTGTATTATAGCCCGTGAAGGCACAAGTATATGGCAGAAAATATATAATAATGACACAACGCAGGAGCGAACCCGTGGAGTCGTGAATTTCTCGAGTTTTGTATACCTTTCAATATGTTGAGCTTACACATAACGAGAATGCAAAAAAAGCCAGTCTCGACGTGCAAAGGTAAGAATTTGGGGAGGGTGACGATGTTTACGGAAGAGGTTAACGCAGGTGATGCAAGTACCGAAAGTAGGTATACGAAGAAAGGGCTCGGGCTTATCCTTTTTGTCCATTTCTGACATGGATTTTTACTACTGGGTCTTAAATTGAATTTAATCGAAAATCGATTATATCGATTACGTGTGCGTTTGAAGCTTGCTAAAACAAATAGAGCTTGAGAACGAAAACAATCGAAATTCCAACTGGTATTTTTTATTTTTGTTTTTTGTTTTGTTGCAAACCCACTGAAAAGATTGTGTGTCGACGCAGGAGTGTGGCCCGCGCATAACGCAGATCTAAGGCGATTGAAAAAGATGATGAAATTTACAGGATTATTGTATTAGGGTACGATCTAAATACATTAAACTGGTTTCGCAGGTGGAAAGTGGAAACGGGCTCTCTCGTCGCAAAGAGGCGGATATATCCATTTACATATATTATTCAGCTATCGGTTATTCATACATGTGCTTTCCTGCAGGCAGCTGATTGCGAGACTGATAAAAATGCAATTTTTCTCACTCCCGAGCTGCAGCAGCGACGTATTGAGTCACTCAACTTTCAACCAAGTCTCGCATACAGGTATGTGTCGATGTAAAAACAGCTATTGTATAATAAATTTATCGTTACCCGCAGACGAGATGAAATCGAGCAATTTTACGGATGATCCACCAGCCACGCAGATCGAAAGATCGGCTGTCGCACGTTTTTTTTTCGTTTGACGCGCCGAAACAAAACTGCGTCGGCTCAAAAAAAAACTAGACGATGATTCATCTGCAAAACGCAACACTGCGGAGCTTTGTAAATAAATTACTGACGCAACGAGGCCGTAATTACAGACGTGTATATATGTAAATAGGCATTTTGTACTGCGCACGCGACCACACGCGACGACGTTGCTCTCGCCTCCGACGACACGGCACGGTGTATTTTTTGCCCTCCAAAGCAGTATATTTCTGAGTAGCGGTTCGCGCGAAACTATACCGGCGTCGGTGCCGCCGGTGCATGCGCGCATCGCATCGTATCGGTAAAAAGTTACACTTACTTGTCTTTGTATATATATTACAAGTGGAGTAATTATTTCGCCTTTTTTTGTTATTATACATTCATAGCGATCCATTTCTTTTGAGCTCAGCGATGAAGTAGCTTTTTTGTTGACTTCGAAGAACGCCTCGTACTTATTTACTTTCGTCGAATTTCTAATAATATTTAACTTACGAGTCTCTCTCTCTTTTCTCGATCGATCGATCGATGCATACGCTCTGCAATGCAACCGATGAAATTTGAGAAACGACTCGGCATGTAATAAATACGTATGAGTCCCTCGTATCAATGATAAACATTTCTTTCCCCTGCGCGATTGTTATCGGTCACGGATACGTTAAATATATACCGTGCTTATTTTTGTGCAGACAAAGAAGCCGAGATTTGCGTCAATAATTATCCGAGATCCGTGCCAGATTATGCAATATAGCGCAGGCAAATATACATGTGGCTTATCTCGCGCGCTCATCATCTTGCGCGCTTTTATTATTTAAAGTATCAACAAGAGACGCGTGCCGAAATGTATCGACGCGTAACAACAATTTGATCTCGCACGCAATTGAGATAGGTGATACATAAAATCGATCGAGACGTTCAATCATTTCTGAAGTCGGGTCTATATGGCCAAGGCTCCTGTAAGTTCGAGACATCTACTGGATCCGACAACTTTTTAATTGATATTAATAAAGTAAAAATGGAGCGATGATGATACGGCACTTTGTGTTCATCGATTTTCGTTAAAGAGCTCATTAATATTTGACACCCGAAAGCGTCACAAGATAAAGCGCGTAATGTAATAATGTCGAATGATTTCACACGCTCTCGTACTCAAGATATGAGGAGTTTGAATTACTTTACCAACAAACTTCGTATCAATAATAATCATCCCATTTCTCGAGACAAGTATATCGGTTATTTGAGGATAATGATTTTTACGCAGGGGAAACTTCCAATGAGTAACAATAATCAATAACAAAAACTAATGAAATGAGTAACAATTAAACATCGAAGAACATTCAATTTCAGCTTGTTTACGATTTTACTTTGAAACTCGATGATATGAAATATGAGTTTTTTTTTTGTAAATAACTCAGTATTATTTTCTTTTTCGCTCATTTTTGATTTATCTTTTTACTTCGCAATCAATTACGTATTCTAAGCCGTTCTCTACTGCATAAAGAGAATGAGTCACGAGACACAGATTTTAATCAAAATGTAAAAAGAGTGACGGATCTAAACGGAAGACATTGTTGACTGGGATATTTAAATATTTGTTTATTTATCCTTCCTCTCAAGGAAACTTAAGCCTGTATCGATTGAGCCAAGTTTAGCATAACGTGTCTGAAATTACTTATAATGGTCTTGGCAGATTGTTATCAATGACGAGTCAATCAATAATTCACTCTAGACTCATTTGATGTTTATTTTTATTCACAATTTTGCTGGGTACATAAACTACGAAAGTAACTCATTTTTCGGATACTTTTTCAAACTCTCTGTAAATACAAAAGTTCACGAAAGCATATTAAGCGCCACTATATGTAATAACTATTATTCCGCGAGCTCAAAGACACCTTCAAAACGTCCTTGGGCACTTTCGTTTGACAAAAAAATCATTCCTTTATTTGTTTCCATCCAGAGAGCAGCGCTCAAAGAATGAAAAAAAAATAAAAAGAACGAGTTTTTCATCCATACATGCTCTGATAAAATGAGCTCTCCTCTTTTCTTCTCGACGAGTGCACGTATTCAATTTATTCGCTTTTTTTGAAACAGTGCCAAAAGCGACTATTTTCGGTCATAAGTACATATTCGAGCTTCGTTTGTTTACAAAAGCCTCTTATACGTACGGTGTCAGCCGCAATAATAAACACTTGTAATACGTTCGTTCACTCGTTAAAAAAAATAACAATAAAAAATGATTCACGAACATTACTTTAGTAATGTTCAAAAGAAATGTACGAAATCGAATAAAAAGCCAAAGCTTTCGTACTTAAGGTTCGGAACAACTTTTGGTTCGGTGATTCTCCTAAAAATCGCATTAGCTCGTGCATTGCTGTGTAGCTGCAGTGGCGTCGTATCGAAAGTGTGCGTGTGTTTGTGCGCTTGGCGTTTAACGATGAACTGCATTAGATGCAAGTGTGTATATAAACGCGGGCCGCGCGTCGGGGCGGCTAAACGGAAAATCGATTTCGTGCATATATAAGACACACACGCGCGCAGGCACTCACCGGCCGGTGGCACACATATACTCTCGTGCAATAGCTACTATCACATATATATAGGAGAAGCATTGCAGGTCGCGCGCGTCGCACCCGTTATAGTGCGCGCACTTACCGAGATTGCTATAGAGGTAAATTTGCCGGGACACGTTTCCATTTTACAAAAGCGGCTGCTCTTCTCCTGCGAGACACGAGCTCCGATGATCAAACGATCTTATCTGTATTCCGATGGAATATACTTAAGATTCGACGAAACTCTGCTGCTGCGCACTTGATTGCCCCCATAGTGTTTTGCTCCCATAGCATTCTCAATTCGTGAAATGGAAGATGCGTATTACGTGTGCGTGTATAGCGTCTTTAGGCGATTTCGAGATTCTAGCCAAAGTTTTTTAATACATAAAAAAACAGTCGATTTTTGTTAATCGAACAAAATAGATAGAGAAGAAAAGTCTCGCAGAGAGATGTGCTTCGCACTTGAGCTTTTCAATGTCAGACGGGCGCTATCGGAGCTCTTACACGTACGCGTAAGTGATTATTTACGACTCGCGCACGAGAGCCTCTCTCTTTCTCGCTCACGTCTCTCCTCGAGCAGTCGTTCGAGGGAAAATACGGATCTCGTAAAAAAACGACACGAGTGTTCGTCGTCGACGCGTTTACAGAGAGAGCACATGACATTCTCGCGTACATGTGCGTTTTTATATTAAGATGAATTTCAACGAGTGGAAATCTTTTACCTATGTAATAATACATCACGGAGTAGCTTATCAGAGTTACTCGTAAAGCTCGCGAGTCGTGATTCCGAACTTCTTCAGGCGCTCAAAGGAGATGATAAATTATGCGCCACGCTCGCTGCATTGGGCGCCTACCAGCCCGAGCTCGTGTTACGTAAAGTGAAACTTTTTTACCTCGCGCGCGTCTCATAAGCACATTGCATATAAAAAAGAGCATTATTATACGCGGCGATACGAGATAAGATAGATAATGCACGCGCGTGCGTGAAGTATTTTAAGAAGTTTTTTTTTTCTTTGCTACTCCTTATTTTCTCTTTTCGCGCGCGGGTTAGGCATAGCGTATACATAATGATACACGCGCGAGAAGACGTCTTCTCGCCTTGAAAACTTTTGCTGGCTTGCATCTACACACGCACGTATACGTTAGATACAAAGTCAACAGATTAGTCGTCGCTTACGCGTGAAAGAGGAAGAGCGAAGAAAAAAAGAATCGGAGCCGAAGAGTATGTGCGATTATCAGCTGCAGTCGTTGTCATGCGATTGTTTTTCTTAACGTATTATGCTCTCTTATATCATATCGCACTGACGCATTGGCCGATGCTGCCGCCGCCAGCACATGTGATGTTTATGTGCTTTTAATCGAAGTTCGATTTATCACTCGCGCGTCTGTGCAGTTTTCCAGCTCGAGCGATCGCAAATAGAAAAAAAAT